ATTTCAATATCTTCAATATTTTCAATGCTTTCAAGAGAGGAGCTGATAGATGTGATAACCAGCACACGACACGTTGCCAGGAGGGAAGAACAGGGGCTTCTCTTTGTCAACGCACAACTGCCAAAGCCTTGGATGCATCACTTGATCGCGGGTGGCGGTCAAACTGTTTGGACCCTGCACCCACAGAGTTTAGTCATGTTGGGAATCAAATGGAGTCACCTAGCATCACCAGACCTAGTTTTGGGGGCACATGATCATTCATGTCCATCTTCCATCTTTAATCGATTTGCTGCTGGTTGAATGCCATTTCTTGGTTCAATCATGGTTCAATCCTATTCCTGGATTAGGAAATCCCAATTCGCTGGTTAACGCCTCATTCTGGCTGGTTGAACGGGTCAAAATCGCCCTGGCTTCGCCTGAAAATAGGATATCCCGGATATCCCCAAAATCCAGTGCTTCATCATTTTCCCTATGAAACGGGCCAGAAATTGGAGGTAAATCCGCAATTCAGAGAGCCGAGGCGCGGGACCGTTTGCAGTGGCACAGACACTGCCGGCCCCTTGCTGCGCGCGTTGCTGGACTGAACCCAGGGCGGTTCCATCCATGTCATGCGGTAAACGCCATTGCATAAACCATCCCCAAGTTTATCCCAACATGCCTGGGATTGAAACCATCAAGGAATTTTGGAGGTTTGTGGCATTGTGTTTATCGCCTTACTGGAAGTCAATGCCAAAATCAATGCCACAAAAAATGATGAGAATTTGGGTTGATCCCACCAGGACCTAGGGCAGACTCATTCGGCTTGCAACTGGCGGGCAGCAATGCAGGTGGGTGTCACGACAGCCTGAGATGGGGCCAAATTTGAGATCCACATGTCACAAAACATTGCAAACCACAGGCTTCAGCCGTTTCTACCAATCACCAGCCCTATTTTGGGGTACAGAATTTCAACTCATACTATATAGGAAGTTCCAAGGTGGAGTGGCTGTTTCAAGCATGATCCAATGGTGTAGTCCAAGCAAATCACGCCCCCCAAAAAGCGGATTGGGTTTGAGTTTAACAATCTTCAATAACTGATCCCCCAAAAATCTTCAAAACAACCAGGTTTTCGAGGGCTCATTGGAATCCCCTCCATTTGCGACTCGCAGTTGATAGGTCGGAGTCAGGGGCCCCAGCGATCCTTGTACTCGCCTCGCTGGCGAGTGGAATGACGTGGCAGGGAGGCTCAGGTAGTGTTTTGATGGGGAAATCAATGGGAAAATGATGATTGATTGCGCCGACATGTTGCAATTTTGATGCATGATTTTTGATATTCTGTTCAGACAAACCAGGTATAGGCAACCTGGGTGGGACTGAAACTGAGGACGGACGGCCAATGGACGTCCATGAGGCGAGAACGTCCATGTGGTGTTTTTTTGGTTCTGCCCCTATGTTCTACCCGATGTTTTTGGGAGATGTCTTCATGTTTGCTGGTCTATCTAGTGTCTTTTTAATCCCCACCTGCCAGGTGAGGTCTCTAGATTCTTGGATTTTATTAGAGTTACTTCCTCCTTTGGGCACTGCCGGACTTCAACCGCGAGCTCCAGATCTCAGTGCGCACTGCCGGACCTCAACCGCGAGCTCCAGATCTCAGTGGGCACTGCCGGACCTCAACTGCTAGCTCCAGATTTCACTGGCAGAGAGAATGTCAGACTAGATGCCAGCTAGAATGCCAGACAGAATGCCAGAATAGATGCCTGAAAAAACGTCAGAATACATGCCAGAAAGAATGTCAGGATAGATGCCAGATAGAATGCCACAAAGAATGTCAAAGTAGATGCCAGATAGAATGCCAGAAAGAATGTCTGAATAAATAGACTAAAAACATGTGTATGTATATATATATATATACATATGTAATAACGTTATAAATACTTCCAGATGGTATGTCAGAAACTATGTGAGAATAGCGTGTAAGGGTGTGGATGTCTCGAAGAAAATAACTTTTCTTTTGGCAAATACCGATTCTGATGGTTTTCTCATGAGCTCATAGGTTTTCTATGTGTGTTTCCCCTGTGTTTTGCCTGGGTATATAATCATCCCAACAAAGAACGTCCGGTTGGTGAAGGGTAGGGATATTTAGCCATCAGACATGGGATTTCAACCAAAAGACATGGGAACTATTCAGCGAAAACGGGGGGCAAACCGACTGTTGAAGGGTAGTTCGTTCTGATGTTCTATGCCTCTTTAACCAACCGAAAGATATGATTGAACCAAGAAAAGATGAGGATTTACCTCCGGCAATCAGACATGGCACCGGAAAATTCACCAATTTATAGGTGATTTTCCCAGCTATAAACATTCATTTATACTGGATTTCCTTGTATTTTTCCATATTTTTCTATATCTTCCCATGTTTTTTCCCCATTAAAACCGCCATTTCGGCCACGAGGGTTTCGCCAGGCCGACCTGGGTGTCGAACTGCCGGGCCGCGTGGGTGGCGTGCTGCCCGGCATGCGGCTCTGTGGTGGCAGGCACAGCTGAGAAATCATTGGGATACAAAATATGTGGTAGTCGATCTAAAGGTCCTTGTAAGGAGTTTTAATTGCGAAAGCCGTGCATGTTATGTTGGAAACCCTCGCGAAAGTTTTTTTTTTTCGAGTTCGCGAAATGTAACAGTTTTTTTTCGCGAAAATTTCGCGAACGTTGGATATCATGATTGCCTAACATAGGTTCCGCGAAAGATAAACATGGAGTTCGCGAAAATTTTGCGAAAGTAACATTTTTATTCGCGAAGAATGGCCGTTCCCGGATAAAGGAATTTTGATCAACAACAATGTATAAATATATTATATGTATTTAGTCATATAGTAATATTATAATATAATATATAGTCGGGGACGCCTTGTAAGCAGAGACTGATCTGTTTACTGCATCTGCCAGAGGCCAAAATCAGGCAAATAAGAAATGACCTAAGTAAGGCCTAAGTACAAACACCTGTAGTAAGCAGATATATTAACATATACACCAAAGACAATTTCAGAATCTGCTTTCTACAGCTCCGTTGTCCTGAAGTGTTTGTACAGTAGACTTAGTGTCAAGACAGGTACAGTAGACTTGGTGTCAAGATCATGCGGGGGGAAAAAAAAAAGCCTTGTACCGAGCCTCTTCCCCACGAAAAGTAGGGACAACGCAGTAAGCAGGAACCCTCCCTATAATTTGACCAGGGCAGTAAGCAGCTCGGGGCTCCGAACGGGACCTTATATGAATCCCTAAAATACCCTCCTGCTTACTACTTTGCTTTGGCTGGTTCCTGCTAACTGGGTGTCCGTGACTATAGTTCAATAGTTATATATATATTTATATATGGGTAGTATACTATATATATATGGTATCGCTTGTGCCTGCTGAATCGTCTCACTTGTGCTCGTGCAGGTCCCTTTTGACTTGAACAGCAGGGTTTGGCCCCAGAACATTCAAGTCCCCCTGCAGTCCCCCCACCCAACTTCCCCCAAGTCCCCCAAGTCGCACACCCCCCAAAGGTGGGTTTCATGAACTTTACATCCCCATTAAACAACCATTGTAAATGGAGGATTTTGGGATTTTAGGGGAATCCCATAGTATCAGCATGAAACCCCCATGACATCCCCAGGTAAATTCCCAGCAACATCAACCACTGAAGCGGAGGCTCTTTTGGCTCGCCGAGTCCCTCCCACTTTTAAAACGTTTGGGTCGAATGCTCAATGGAAGTAGGTGGCAGTTGGATCGTTGGGTTTTCACCAAACATGGGTCAAACATGACAGCTTTAAGTACTTTTTCATGGGAACAATGATGATAATCTTGATAGTCAAGGGGATTTTTGGAGTATCCTATGGTCAGACCCCACTTGAACCGTTGTCGCCTGAGGCTTTAATTCAGAAGATCCCATGGCAGTGTTGGGCCTCGACACGGTGGGACGCGTGAGGCGTTCAGCGTTCAGGGCATTGCTTGAATCTGGTAGGATAGAAACTATGGTAATCAGAGTGACATGGCTAGGTGGGAAATCATTCTTTTTTTCTGGGGGGTTATATATAATATATGTATATAATTAATATACATATATATATATAGCCGGGAAAATCGTATAAATCCTTATGGGAAAATCATGTTTTGATGGGGATTTATAGTTACTTAGTGACTTGGTTGGGAAGATCATCAGTGAGGGATTTCACCTGTTTTGTTGTTTGGTTTTTGATAAACCACCTGGCCACAGGTTTGCCATCTCTGCAAAGCACCACCGGCTGTGGCTTCCTATGTAGCGATGGTCATGGGCTAAGCGGCTAAGCACCTGCGACTGGGTACAAGCATGGAATGTAGGGATCTATCCAACAACATTGGGATTGATCTGCATGGACAATCACCATTTTTAATAGGTACATCATCAGAATTCATCTGTAAATGAACCATTTTCCATAACTATGTCAAATAACCAGAGGGTATCCAAGCAAGTTTTTGGGATGAAGCTAGGAGGATGGTGTTTCAATCACCGTGGAATACCAAGATGTTGCCATCGGCGAAGACCTCGATTTTTGTCCTTTGGCCATCGGTCGATGCTGTGTTTTCCATGATTTTTTTGGGTCAATGACTGGAGCTGAGCCATGATGAATCATAATGATATGCCACTCATTGGTTTCCCTGAACATCCCTGAACATCCCGTGGCTCATTGAATCTGGGTCCCTGATTTTGGTACATAGATCACGTTTGGGGACTTGGGGGGAAGCTCATCGCGAAGCCTTGGGAGGAATCGCTAAGCTTGCAGTTGATCAACATTGCGTGCGTCGCAGGGTTGTATGGCTTGCTTGCTCTGAGACATCAATCTCTACATATGATATATGTGCTTCTGTGTATATATCTACACACACACACATGGACGCTTTCATATGCAGAGAATCTGTTGCACGTCTTAGTTGTGTGAGAACTATCAACCCTTCTGGTTTTTGAACACAATCAAACAATCAGCATTCACGATCCACCAAGTGAGCCAGGCCAGGTGTTTGAAGCCATGACATTCCCATGGTATCGGATGACAGTTCCGCCGGAGTGGCGCTGTCCCAACTGTAGGCGCGGCTTGCAGAATGTAGACTGCTGGTGTGGCAGTCAAAGCAGTGAAGTGACACCCCGTCCTTCCGACTTAAGCAAGACCCAAAAGATCTACACCGACTTCCTGAAAAGGGAGCCCTTTGACCAGATGCGGCAGCGTCTTCTGCAGCGTGGCCAGCGACAGCTGAAGTCGCAGGCGGAGTACTTGCTTCAGCACATGGGTCTCAGTGAACATCAGCTGCAGAAAGGACTAAGCCAAGGGAAGGTCGGCTCCGGGTCGGACACCTTAAAGCTGCAGCTCCAGAAGCTTCAGCAGTCGACCTCCCTCCCGCAGCTCAGTTCCAGATCTCGCTCCGTTCGAAGCTCGCTATCTCGAGGATCTGGGGCTTCTGGGGAAGCTGGGCCACAGGACCCAGTGATGGCATACATCATGCATGGACCGCCAGCGTACTCGCCAACATTGGCCGGAATGGCATCCGCAGCATCCGCAGCACTTCCTTGAGAGTCGCATGTGACACCGCATGTGTTTGCGTGCCGACTGGATACTTCAATAGTTGCCATGGTCACAAGTACTCTAGAGGCTTGTGCTGTTAGGTACAACGGGGCCTGTCTCGGATTTGGAATCTCCAAAGTCCCGTGCAATTCATATTTATTCATATTGATTAGCATCTTCCTGATTGAACTAGCGATTTGGGATCTGGGTACCACAAAACACAGTTCCATCATTTTACCTTTTGAGACACACCCAACTGTTTTACTGAAGTCACTGAAGTCGTCTTGCTCCCAAGGAGCATGAGCTTCAGCACAGGACGATATGCTCCCGGCGTTTGAGAAATCTGCAGCCTTGTTGATGGAGCCTGGTTGATGTTTCAAACATAAGTAAGGCTTAAAGCCTAGGCCCTAGGCGTGCAATAAAAAGGGGATTATTCACATCCATAAATCCATAAATCCGTGGAATGGGCGTCACTAGGGGTCAAACCGTTTTTTGACCCACACATTTTCCAAGGCGGCAATGCCTTCGCAGAGATCTGACTCGGTTCGGTCTTTGGTGATCTCACGCCATCCACTTCCATGGCCTTTGGGTCATCGGCTGTGGCGATTCGCCACTCCGTTGCCACAATGAAGCCCTTGTATCGATGTCCAACTTCAGCCTCTGGTGGCTATGAGTTGAATACCATGTCTTCACAACATCTTATTTGGACTTGGACTGCAGAATATACACCTTCCGGTTGGATCACTAGCGTTCGTATTATTGGAATCTTATATACATTTTTGTTACAGAGTTTCCAATCCTTGGTGATGATTCTTGAATGAGGTCACTAAGAGTTGCTTAGAGTATCTTCATCACCATGAAAGGTCTGTTTGAGGCTGGCGGATGGACTTTCTCCCATGCGGGATGCACATGACAGCCACAGTGTACATAGGGCCCAAGGGGCCCAATTTTCAGTCTCCAGGAGGAAACTGCGCAGATCCATACTTGTAGCCAAACATTGAATTACCTCCCAGAGCGACCGAATTCACGAAGGCCAAGCATTTTCCGCCCAAGCTCGTGCCCAAGGCAGTTTGGGAGACCAAGGGCACAAAGGGTGGAGTCAGTAGTGATGTCAACAGCACCAAAATTGGTGCTGTCAACAGCGCCAAGGAAGGTGATTATTGTTGAGGAAACACCCCTCGAGCCCATGGATCAGTGGATCAATCAGTCAGCATGGTGGTTGACCTGGTGCCAGGTCGGTACAGGACGTTTTTCGATGCCAAAAAGTCGCCTCTTTAGATGGGTCTAGAATGGTCTAGAGGGGTTTGATAGTTTCCTTTCAAAACTTTGGATGGTGCAGCCATGTTTGATGACTAGCAGGTGAGGTGCTGGTCCTGCGCGCTGGGTGCTTTGTCAGGATTCAATGAAGAGAACTTTGGCTCAAAGAGCATTTCAAATCAGAATCAATCAGCGAACGAACTGAGACAGATTTGACAGAGAGGCTTTCAGCCAAGTCCAGCCTCTCAGTTTGGCCACTTGCCACCAGGTTTTTGAGGTATCGTAAGTGAGCTAAGTGAGCTCCACAATAGTACAAAAGGCATTGCAGCAGCTCAGTCTGGGCCAAATGTGTTTCACACCATGCCCTCGGCCACTCGCGAACGACTCTCTGATGAGGACTTAACATTCTGCGGCGAGAAAGGCTGAAACCTGGTGGGCACGTCATGGGACATCTAGGAAGGCCATTTATGTGACTTGCTAAAACTGGAACATTCTGATCATGGTAGATTGGTATACGGTATACATATAAATACATGTTTTTACATATACTGTATAGGCATCTACATAAAAAAAATATCAGGATCAAACACATATTAGGATCAATCAAAACTGTATATATATATTATTACATATACTTACACTTATACATGTTGTATGATGTTGCAGACGGTAGCTCACACACTACGCTTTCCCAAAACTTGCTGCAGGAAGAGCTCAACAGCGTCCGTGTGCTCGTGGCAGGAGATGCAGCTGTTGGCAAGTCGTGATCTCAGAGACCTGCGGAAGCACTTCAGGGAGAGTCGTTTGACGTAGGGGATATCAGGATAATAAATATCATGGTAAACAAGCCCGTATATGAATGTATATGACATGTAGGGTTGTCCAAAACCGGGGGAGAGGTATGGCAATTCATGGCAGTTATACTTACATAGTTCAATGCAAGCAGAGTTGCATAGCTTGACTTACTGGACTGCTTCGAATGGATCCAATGCTGAACTGAAACTACACACGCACACATTTGTTGCTTCCATCAGAGTCAGCATTTCAGTTAGGACGCGCGTCTGCGAGCTTCTGTGCAACGGTGCGCCACGCCCCTTCGAACCATCTGATTTCTGTTCATACTTCGGAACCTGAGATATACTCTCGAAAGGTGAAGGTTTGAGCAATGAATTGTATCAGTTCTATTGTGATTCTTAGGCAAATATCAGTGTCCGATCCTACAACCTGTTTTCATATATCTTAAGTGACTTTAAATTGCCAAGACCTGTGGGGTAGGAGTGGTCGCAATTTGATGCCTGCAACATATTTCTTGCTGACAAAGCTTTCTCAAGCTCTCAAGTGAGCAGGTTAGGTTCACTGCATCATGCTGTGTGAGAAACCCAAAGACCCAAGTGGTAGTATGGTGTCTCATCCACGACTAATTCTTGCAGGAAAGGCCAGCCATTTGAGACAATGCCTAGCTGCCCAGTCTGCCAGCCAATTCCCTTGTTTGCTTAATGAACAGTTGGTAATGCATCCCATCATTCGACCATGAATAGGGGTTTGAAATCATTCCATTGCCAGGGGTATACCTTCAATAGACCTCTATTGGGGACAGTTTATGGTTGGGTTTACCACATTATATCCCATAGGATCCATGTATGCTATATATGGTGACATTTACCATCAATATACCCCCAATGTTAGCATATATACCATACATGGATCCTATGGGTATAAACATCTTGCCTCATAGCATAGTCACTCATGATGTGGATGATTCGCAGGGTGCCATCAGGCAATACACAGTCCATCGGTGCTAGCAAAGTATAGCACCGATCCGGGCATCCGGGCATCCGGGTATCGGCATGGCTTGATGCCTTGAGGATGGGCGAGAAGAGCAGCGATTGTGTGAGAGTTGCCATCAGATGCCGCCCACCCAGTCAGAAAGAGTCTCTTGGTACCACTTGGGCCCCGAATCCACTGCTGAATCACCATATTCCCCAGCTGAATGTAGAGCTGGGTTCATTGCTGCCACATTTTTCTGACCCATCCCGGCCCGTCCCCAAAGCTCCTATTGTTGGTCATAGATCCGATTAAATATCCCCATTCAATGCTGGCTTTATTAATTCACACCTCCAGTCCAGTATGCCAAATATTTTCCAAACATGTTCCCATCATTTCATCCTCATTAAATCCCCGTTGAAGTGCTGAGTTTTCTGGATCTCCCAGGATCAACAATGGAGAAGAGAGCATCGTCGAGATGACTGAGGCCTCAAATGAGCAGTGGCTAATTCCCTGTTGGTTGATGATAAGGAGTTCTACATGTTCTACTTTCTTGGGGATTGTCATAATTTAATATAATTTATTGGAATCCCTCTTGACCAATCAGTGTAATGGAATGACAGAGGGTTTTGTTAATTAGCGTAGACATGGGTATCACTCAGATGAAAACCTCCCACAGCGGCGCAATTTGGTCCTTGCAAGATGGTGACATCCAGTTGTAAGTTGGTTTTCTAAACCCCTATCGACATCAATTGACTATAGATACATCATACATCATCTACCATCATCTACCAGCATCTACCATCATCTACCATCATCTACCATCATCTACCATCATCTACCATCATCTACCATCATCTACCATCATCTACCATCATCTACCATCATCTACCATAAACCGTCAGTAACCCTGCTTTTTCAACCAGCTTAGCTATCATGGATGCATCATCTTGTTGTTTCACTAGGCCTTCGGGGAAGAAGGCGAACAGGGACAAGTGGTGCTCAGCGATCCTCATGGCCACGACGAGCCGGCGAAATTCGCCTTTGAGCCACGGAACAACCGCGCTGGTGAAGCCCTATTTCGGGGTCCAACGGGTTCAACTGAAATGGGGAATGTATGATATTGTAGCCAATTTTTCATACCCCCAGTACAAAATCAGGGTTCCGTTTGGATATTTCATATCATGGGATATTTCATTTCAATCTCGGGGGTCCGAAAAATAGTTAAATAGTGATCTGTTTTTCAGCATCAATAGAACCCACCCATATTCATCAACGGGAATCCATTAAACCTGCGTTGACATTCATCCTGGCTGTAGGGGTGACATCCAACTTTGCTACTGGAATGGTACCCCGCCCAGATCTTTACAGCCAAGGACATCGTGTTTGGCCTTTCAGTGGCACAAGTCCAGATCTACGAATCAGTAGGAAAACCAGCCCCTTGGATTGATTATATGCTTCTTGTTATATGAATTATATCATTCTGGTTGTTATTACTTATTTCATCTTATTTCTATGATTGTCAGCAACCATTTGTTTTATACATTCAGCAGTTGCATAACTGGCAGAGATAGCTGCTGAACTGCCTTGAGGCCCTCCACAAGACCTTCGAGGGCTACAATGGTACAATTTTCGCTTATGGCCAGACTGGCAGTGGCGCCTTCGATGCACAGCACGACGGCACCATGCGACGACGCTGCGGGAATGACTTGAGAGAGTGAAACAGAGTGTCAAAAAACCTTTGATTTGCAAAATAATTTCCCAACATTTGCATTTTGAGTGAGGAAATAAACATAAATAAACTAGAATAGACTCATCATTTGGAGCAGCAGCTGAGGCAAAAGTTTCACAATGACCGGCGCTCCTGGAGATTTGCGTGGCATCATTCCACGAGTGAATGAGGCGCTCCATGGTGCAATCCATTTGGGTGTTTCCTCAGCTATTGGGGGGTACTATTCAATAGCTGAATGGTTCATTTCATCGAAAATCCTAGAAAATCCGGATGATTTTTATGAAATGGAAAGAGGATGTGAATCTTGCAAAGTTCTACTTGCAACCAAGCAGATCTCAGACGTGGCTTTCCCAGATCTTGGGGTGTGCAGGAGCTTTTCTCATACATCGCTGAGAAACAATCGAGCTCCACCTGCAGGTTTCTGGTGATGTGTTCGTTGCCTGGTTTCATTGGCCCAACAGCTGACATCCTGATCACTTGGTAAGTCTGGGAACTCCATGGTTTTCCATGGTCTTCGGTTACCACAGTTTTTCCCAGAAACCCACCATGTCGTGACACGCATGGCATGATGCAACCCGGTGTTTTTGTCTGAGGTTCTTCGAGATTTACAATGAGATCATTTTTGACTTGTTGAACCCTGTATCAGACCGCAGCAAGCTGGGAGGTGGTCTGCAAATCAAAGAGCATCCAGTCATGGGTATCTATGTGAAAGACTTGACAGTCCCTGAGCTGAGCATTGGGCACCTCTCGTTTCAGTCGCTATGATGATATGATCCCCTGGCTGGATCTTCATCCCCTCCCATGGTGCCAAGATGTGCTAAGTTGTGCCAAGTGCTGCGGAAATCACCACCCGTGGCCATAAGGAGATCGTGGCGGAGGATGTGACCAAGGTGGAGACCCTGCTGGAGAATGGCAACAAGAGCCGGGCCGTGTCCTCGACGCTCATGAACTCCACCAGTTCCAGGCCGGGGCCGCAGCGCCGAGAGAGTGGAAAAATGGGGGTAGAAGAAAAGTGGTTGTCATGAAAATGTCATGAACATGTTGTGAAGAAGAAGATTGGAATGCTTTTTGTGGTTAGGCGGAAGATAGATTGGGCAGTATGTTTTTTTTTTAGGCGGAAGATGAGTTTCAGTGTGGACCGATCCACTACTGAGCAAGTGCCGAAGTCCAAGCTGTTGCTCTTTAGTCTCCCAAGTCTCCCTCCCGATTGGTGGGAAAATCAGTAATTATTTGGGAGTAGTCTATATTTGATGTAGCACATTCTATATTTGGGAGTTTCTAATGGTAATTATCAATCAATCATGGTTTCCTGATGCTGTGAATTTCTTATGCCAGCAACGTTTTGTCCGCGAGGTCGCACTCCATTTTCACCATCAAAATTCATCAAAAGGACGAAGACGACACTTCCAGGCAAAGCGCGAAAACCATGGGGAAAACGATGGGGAAAACCATGGGAAGATCTTCAAAGTGGGGTTTATCAGTGGCCAAAACCTGGAACCATTGGTTTCATGAATGATAATGATCCATTGGGGCATCCAGAATGATTACGGTCTACTGAGTCTACTACTTGAATATGGATGAATATGGATGAATATGGATGACTATGGTGATGAACCGCATTGCCAGGTCTCATTCCAAGAGGGCATGTATTTTGAGTTGACAAAGCCCCCCCATTCTGAAAAAGGTTACGTGCCCACAACTTGGGTAGTAGTTGATCTAAGAAGGTTTCAAATTCACGACATGAAGACCCCAAGTTGTTCGTCTTAAAGAACAGTAAACACCTAACTCTGAAGAAGCAATATCCCAATTGAACATTGGTATCGTATCAGAATTCCAGACATGGAAAACAACACCTAGATTCAGATAGATGTCCAGCAAGTTCCTGTCTATTACATCATAGAATCCCTTTCTATAGCATAAGCGTCTGCTCAAAATCGGACATATTTCGAGAAATTCCATGTCAATAGCTGTTGTTTTCCTTAAGTTTCTCATTTAAACTATGGTTGCTAACAAAATACATAAATATAGAGTATACATATCATACATATATATATATGTCATATGTAGTTGTGTATATATATATAATAAATACTACATATGGTATAGTTACTTTTATAACTAACTTAAAAAAAAAAAAAAAACAAACTATGGTTACTATCTAACTTTGATCTATATATATATACACGTATATATAGCAAGCACCAATGGCAGGAACGTCTTTGCCAAGCTGAACTTGGTGGACCTGGCGGGGTCGGAGCGGCAGAAGGGCACCGGGGCCACGGGGCAGACGCTGAAGGAGGGCGCCAACATCAACAAATCGCTGAGCGCCGAAGCACAATGGCCGGCTGGGAAACCACTGGCATAAATGATTTAAATGGGGGTAGATGACATTAGATGAGGTAGGTGATGAATCACTTTGAATTTTGATTTCATGGGATTTGTATATATTGGGGATGGAGGACGGAATCTAATGGGGTTATAACCTCTGGTGATCTTACAGTTTGCGAACTGGAAGCCATGGCCCATTTAAATTTCGATGACTAACTGATGATATTTAGCTATCTAAAATGGTGACTCTTTATATTTTATGAGTATATCTTATGGATATAATATCTCGTGGATATGTTTTGAATGTTTTCTTTTCAGCAAGATGGGAATATCTTATGTTTTTTCTTGATGTGTATATCTTATTTACCATTTAAGGGGCAATCTGTTGGGAACCTCTGATGGGTAGATTGTAGATATTATCTAATTTTCACAGTCCAATTTTGATGTTGTTGTGTTTTTTTTCCAAGTCTCAGGATATTTTGCGCACCATTTTGAGATATCTGATTCACCGTTTAGGACATCTTTTGGGAATTATATCGGTTAAGAGGGATCGATCATATTCAACAAATGGGCACATGCTTGGAACTACTACATAGAGTTTCCCAAGCACATTGTAGATAATTTTATACCCTCTGGTGAACTAACATAGCTATGGAAAATCAGTTCACCAGAGGGTATCTTATGGGGGTGTCTATTGGGATATCTTCTGGGACCTATCGCCAAGATTTTTTTGGTGATTTACGGGAGCCATGGTGGATATTAAGCATCAAACATGTGATGTAACGGGAGCCATGGTATAAAAGTTTCCGGACTCCAATTTTAACAGCTGTGTTGAATCATGTTGAATAATGTTTTCGCAGCAGTTGTTCTTTGGGGAAGCCTGGAAACTAATTCATGATTTCTTAATGATATTTTTCAGCGATATTACTGCACACAAGTCAAGAGCAGTTTTGAATTGTGTTTTTATATGTTTTTATGCTACAAAGTGCTTTGTGCAGTTTCCCAAAGAAAACCTGGAACTAAGTTTTGTTCATCAATTATGAACGTTAACCCAACAAAAACCAGAAACATTTTCACTGGGGGGACTCACGATTAACCATTACATAAACCATTACATAAACCATTACATAAACCATTACATAAACCATTACATAAACCATTACATAAACCATTACATAAACCATTACATAAACCATTACATAAACCATCACAAAAGAACCTTAGGGAGAAATTTTGGTAAGACGTTAACCATTTACATTCAATCCTAGGAACATTTAGGCCACTGAACGAAAGTCTGGCAAACAAGGATAGCCAGTTGCATAACCCGAGGAATCAGTAGCTATGCGGCTATGCGGAGAATTTGAGACCAATTGTGTGATGTCTAGTCTATTGGGCGAGAAAATTTACCATCTTCTGTGCAGCGGAGAAATTCTGGCAATGGACAATGGACCATGAACATTTTGCATGATAATGTCATGAATGCGTAGGTGATTTCCATTGACAGGTACATAATATTGTTGGAGGGTATACATGAGGCCTTCAACGGAAAAACCATGGCAAACAGTTGGAAAAGTTACAGTTTGTACAGTTGAAACGTGTGGGTTAGCACTGCTTTGCCGAACGGAAAAAGGTTGTTCGGTAGTCGTAGCAACTACTTGGCTGCAACTTAGGTGCTCTTGGGAATGTGATCAATGCACTAGTGGAGATGCTTGGCTTTAGCAGATCTGATCCAATTTATCCACATTTATCCACTATTCTCTTTGCACACCGCAAAGGACAGCGAACGGGAAGAAGGTCTTCATTCCATATCGCAACTCCAAGCTGACGCGAGTCTTGCACCTTGCACTGGGATTGGGATTTGAGGCTCTGCCAGGTTTCTGGTCCTGGACAGATCATCACAGCGGTACTGTAGATTGAGAGGTCACTTGGGACCCGGCCATCAAAATAGGTCGGGCAGTGTCGAGTGTTGCTGACCGCAGCACAGGCAAGAATCCCTGGGCGGGAACTCTTTATGCACGATGTTGGCAACTCTCTCCCCTGCAGCTTGCAACTACGAGGACGGAACTGTTTAAAAGTCGCAACTAAAAATAGGGAGAAATGATGATCAACCATGGGGCATGGTGCAAATTTCAAGGCAAACTATGGCAAACCACAGTTAGCCTTTGGATGCTTTGGGGAGTCTGAGAAGCGAGCCTGAGACTCTTGATCCGGTGTCAGGAGACAATGTCAACATTGCGCTATGCGAATCGCGCGAAGGCCATCAAGGTTTCTGCAACGAAGAATGAGGAGGCTTCACAGGCTGGAACCTGTGTCTGAAAATAGGGTATACCACCAATTTCTTTATTGGAACATTCTGGAAAAATAGTGCTTGTTCTACAACCAATGGATTGAATGGTCCCCCATTTTCAAAACCCAATTTGTGTAAGAAGCAGTCGTGCACCGCTTGATGGTTTCGAATATGCGCCACAGTCAATCGATCGTCCGGCATATGAGTTGGGAGGCTCATGCACCCACCAGTGGATAATATATTATGCTACATAATATTATATTAGTACTATATTAGTACTATACTAGTACAATATTAATATTATATTAATATAATATTAATATTATATTATAAATACATTTGATATGTTATATTAATATGTTATATTAATATTATAATAAAATTATATTAATATTATATTAAGATTATATTAATATTATATTAATATTATATTAATATTATATTAATATTATATTAATATTATATTAATACTATATTAATATTATATTAATATTATATTAATATTATATTAATATTATATTAATATTATATTAATATCATATTAATATTATATTAATATTATATTAATATTATATTAATATCATATTAATATAATATTAATATGATATTAATATAACATATCAAATGTATATATAATATAATATTAATATTATATTAATATTATTTTAATATTAGTTTAATATTATTTTAATATTATTTTAATATTATATTAAAATTATATTAATATCATATCAATAGTATATTAATATTTTATATTAATATTATATTAAATATAATATTTATATTTTATATTAATATTATAGTAAATATAATATTACCTACAGGCCCCGTGTGTTGCCCAAGCCCAGAATAGCGTAAATTACAATGATTTTCTGTTCACACTATACATATCATATAAATTCTCCCACCCCCGTTAAACTTCTACATTCATTGAAGATTCTTCAATACGGGTTTAATTCTCCCACCCCCCTTAGACTCTTATATTCGTTGAAGATCTTCAATAAGGGTGAAATTTCCCACTCCCGTTAAACTCTTCCATTCATTGAAGATCTTCAATAAGGGTTTAATTCTCCCACCACCGTTAAACTCTTCCATTCATTGAAGATCTTCAATAAGGGTTTAATTCTCCCACCCCCGTTAAACTCTTACATTCATTGAAGATCTTCAATAAGGGTTTAATTCTCCCAACTCCGTTAAACTCTTACATTCATTGAAGATCCTCAATAAGGGTTTACTTTCCCACCCCGTGGAACTTCTACATTCATTGAAGATCTTCAATCATCATCATCATCATCATCATGAAATTTGCCGGGAACGTCCCTGTAAACTTCCGGGCAACACACAGGGCCTGGCCGTAATATTAATATTCTATATTAATATTATGTATATATATATATTTCTACACAATCACTCTTTAGTGAATTCAATCATGATTGATGGTAATGTGACATATCCCTATCACTCCCCAGAGCCTGAGTGGCTCGACCTGCAGGTCTCACGTTTGAAGGCAGAAGTTGAAGAGCTGAAGAAGAAACTCGCAGCTGTCGACAGTGGAGGCCAGTCCCGAAAATCGCGATGTCCAGTGGTTTGGTACTGAGACCTGCACTGAGACCTGCGCCGCTGATACCATCCCTTAAAGCAGCTGCTGATGCTTAGAATTCGGCCTTATGGGTGCTTTGTTGGTGAAGATTCGCCCTAAACAGAAGCCCTAACCTGTTGGTAAATGGCATAGGAAATCGCCGAACTAGAGGGAGCTTTTATAGCTGACAAAATCATATGTTTGATGACCCCGAAGAGGATATTATGTGGATATACAACCAAAACAACATGATAAACTCATTCTCCCGTCTCCCGACATCCTTCTTGATGTATAGATGGTTTTCCTATTTAGATACCCATTTAGTTCAGGGAATTCCCCCCAGCCGCTAGCCATGTTTGATTGAGGGTAACATATGCCAACAGGTGGACCAGGTAGAGGCGGCATGACAGCAGCAGAGAAGGAGGCGGAGCAACAGAAGTTCCAGAAGCAGTTGAAGGCCCAGCGATTTTGTGGCGCTTTTGCAGAAAAACCACTGCATTTCAAGCTGACAATCTAGAATTTAGGCTTTGTCTGAAAAGAGGCGAATGCACTATAATTAGAAACCAGTGGATGGAATGGAGCACCCCATTTTCCGACAAAACCATACGCCTAGGAGGAGTATAAATGGTTTTCCGAGCTTTAGCTGCCACGTCGGGTCATATGTCGTGTTTTTTTTTTTCCGTTTTCCCAACTTTGAGCCACGAGTCATCAGCCCAGTCTTTTTCCATGGAACAAACATCATCCCAGTTTCTATGAACACAATTTTGATCCGCTGCCATCTGGCATCAACCCAGAAAGTGCATCAATTTAGATCTCAAAATTACTGACCCCCCAAATCTGAATGGTTCAACACAAAAGAAGGCCGCCTGTTGATGATGAGATTCTCAACTCCGCAAAGTTGTGGTGGTTTTAGATGACCAAACATTACCAAGTCTGTGATTTCTGCAGGAGATGGAACTGATGTTGAACAACAACTGGGAAGAGAAAGCGAAGCTCAGTGAGGCATCAAGGGTCAAACTGGGGTGCATGGGCGATCGCGGAGGTGATTTTGTGCATCCACATATGGCTTCATTATGGCTTCATTATGGGTTCTGCATAATGTTTGGACATCTTTGACTTCGAAAAACATGGGATGGTCCTTCGGCAGGAGCATGAGCGGCAGATGCAGCGCTTTCGAGAAGAGCGCGAACGTGCGGCACATGCTCTGGAGGAAGAAAGGCAAAAACGCTTGCGGCTGTTGCAAGAGAAGACCCTGGTCGGAAAACGGTGGGATTCACTCCGGAATTCACCAATAATGGATAATAATGGGGAGATTTATTGGATGCAATATTTATATATATATAATTATGATTAGTGAGGGTATATTTTGGTATATGTGAAGTACATTTTTTTTGTTTTTACAGCATATAATATTTATTGCCAACAATGTTATATATGTATACATACCGTATGTCTACATATGTTTAGTATAGTACATTTGGGTGTGTCTCGAATTCCATCCAAAATTTGGGGTGGACCCCCCAGAAAAAATAGGGAAAAAGATGATTTTTTAGTGGATTTAAGGATTCCCTATTTTCAAACCCAGTTTTGTTTTCCTTGGCCCTACGGGACCAGTAGCTGCCCACCTTTTGATGTGGATTTGTTGTTGATCCTGGATATCCACTGTCCACCAATCAGTGATGTTTTTCATGTATATGCAAAGGAGTACTGATCTTGAAGCTTATATTTCTAGCTGTAATTTTTGATCGTGTCTTTTTACATTTTACAATGCCAACACCTTCTTCTTCTTCTTCTTATCGGTATCTGCCCAAACATCACCAAAAACGTCTACAAAATCCCCCAAACCTTCTCTTATCCAATTCTATTCATGTGGCAAATCCAAATAGTCAACCCATCCCAACTAGGGGATGTTTTTTTTTTTCACCCATTTCTGGTGAAGATTTTCCCAAGGAATGACTTGGAACTCTCCCTGCGCGGCCTGGTGGACTTGGTCGCGTCTGCCAGCTTTGAGGAACCCCTTGCTGTGGCCGGGGAGGCCCATGCCTGGCTGAAGTCTCACCGCTCCTTCAGGCGGTGGACATGGCACGGAAACTGTAGGGAGTGTTATGACAGTTGTATATACTGTATATTTTTGTGTGTACACTGTATATAGAATTGCATAGAAGTTTCTAGACATATATATATATATTAACATATATATATTAACATATATATATATTAACATATATATAGATATATAGAACTAATACACGAGAATTCACAACACCATTTAAGTAATTGGTACTTGTAAACATCCAAAGTTGGAAAAACTGGGAGGGCCAGGTTCGAAGATGGGAACGCCCAGCGACTGACCCCCAAGTCGCCACTGGTACAATCAGGTACCCCTATTCTCCCATAAAAAGGATCATTTCCCATTAAACTGGCCTAAAGGGAAACTTTAGGAATGGCGTATTCCACCGTGGATAAATCATTATATATAAATCTAAGTGCCTGAGGTTGGTGAACCAGTTCCTTTCACCACCGATCCTCTGGGAGGCAAGACACGGAGGCTTTGTCCCAGCAGCTGAATTTGGTTCATGTCTTCAAGCACGGCTTCGATGAGGACCGGGAGCTGTGAAGTGTTGGCTGATCCAGCTGAGTTACTGATGTTTGGTGGGCCCCCCCCGGCACAACAGCTAAGTCGGTTTATAACTCGTTTGACTAGGCTTTATGGTAGATATAGCATGAGGGCTTAGAAAGCAACTTATAACAAGTGGGCACCACCTTGTGTTAATGGCCCTTCGGTGGCTTCCCAGCTCAAAACATCTCAGTCATGATAGACTTGCATAAACAAAAACATCAGCATCCAATATCATCATCGAACATTTGACTTAGCCACACATCACTTGCCCGTTGGCAACGTTGGTAATTAAACATAGCTATGGATAGTGGCCCATTTAGTTCGTTGATTTTCCCAGCTATAAACCTCCATGTATGGTTTGGGGGTCTTCCGGCTGGCCATGTTTGATGACACCAGAGGGTACATCCTATTACTGTAATACTTCATTAAATCCCAATAAACCCTACTAAACCCCTATGTACTATGGCTGTAGCACCGGTATCTCCCTAATTAGTACATCACTTAACATCCGGATTCCATTGGACCTCTGCCGGATTCCCGGATTTCCGGGTTCCCGGTAGGACCTGAAGCTTTGGGGCGAAGGCGCTGAAGCGGGAGATGCCACGTTGCAGATCATGGGGCTGGGCAGGTGGGGGACCTGGGGAAAGGTGCCAAAGATCCATGGAATCGGGGACATGTTCAGGGAAATTTGATGAAATTTGGATATTTTACAGAAACATAGGAGAATTCATGGTAATCACTAGTAATCACCCAAAAAATTACCCCGTTCCAGTGGTGAATGATCATTTTCCTGATAAACAATTGGGGTATACCCCATTTTCAGGCACCACTTGGAGGTTGCCCAGGATTCCAGCGAAGCGCTGCAGGTCCCTGCCTAAACTGGAGAAACTGCGGAAAGGGGTGGAGAAGCTGGTGCAGCTGGAGGGTACCTTGATTGCTAGCGAGAAGTTCTTTTTTCCGATCGGATGTGATGAATGTCCATATAATATGATATACAATGATATACATCTGCAATGTATATGATATAGTGTAATTGTGACGAATGTAGTCCAATGTAATGTCATGCAATGCAAGTACATAATGCACTCTTATTTTGTGTGATGTAATTTATTGTAATGGCAAGCGAATATAAATCCGCCCGCACCGAAGGTGCCAAGGCGTGGTAGTTTAGCAGTGGATGCGACCGGACAGATCTGTCAGACTGGTACAGCTTCAGCTGGGGGGGGCCCTTGTTCGCCAAAAGTCGGTTCCCCGCTGTGGTACTTTGCGCATTTTGCAGATCGGCCCAACATTCGGCCAAATGCACCGTTTCGATCCGACCTGGACGCCACATGGGCTCCTTGGGGTCAACTTCGGCCAACAAGGCCCCAACTTCGGCCCAACTTGGACCCACTTGGCTGCAACGGTACTTCGGCCCAACTTGGCTCCAACATGTCGCAGTTTGGCTGAAGTTGGACCCGCTTGGGAGCAACTTCGGCCCACATGGCTTCAAAGTGACTAACACAAGCCGAACTAGTCAAAACGCGCCTTTCACTGATATTTCCCACGTTTTGTCGGCATCGATGACGCTTCGTCGTGTTGAGCAACGTTCCCCGTGTTGTGTCTCCGTTGGGCCCAACTTGGCGTGAAGCTGACGCCAAAGGTCCCAAGTTGCGCCACTTTGGACGTGACTTGGACCTTCATGCGCATCACATGGCTTCAATTTGGGGTACATTTGGACCCACCCTCAGCCCTGCCTGACTCATTGGCTCCAACTTGGACAGCGCAGCTGCCTCTGTGGGGGCCCAAGCTGGGCCAACACTGGCCAATTTTGCGGACTCAGCGCGACGCGCTGAAAGCTTGCATTTTTACGGCTGTTTCCAGCGTTTATTTGGCTTTGATGCGGGTTCGTGCAAGGCAATGTTGCTCTGCTCACATTGGGCAACTTTAAGCTTAACTTGCGCACAAACGTGCCCATGTTGCGCCATGTTGGGCCCCAGTTGGGCTCAACTTGGGCCCAGGTTGGAGCCAACTGGCCCCAGTTCGGCGCAAGTTAGGCCCTAAGTTGGGCCGAAGCGGGCTCCTGACTTAAGACCAAGGACGGCCAAGTTTGACCCCAGTCGGCTTTGTTTGGGCCAAGTACGCCCGCTCGTTTCCTCTCTATCCAATTCTCTGGGTGCGGGCGGTTCTCGTCGCGAAGCGATTCGAATAAATATGGTTGCCTTTGCCTTTTGCATGCTGATTAATATTGCCGTGTGCATGACTTGGCATTCCAAGTGCATGCAGGTGAGTTCGGTCATATGTATCCAAACGAACCTCTGCGATAAGATGGCTATACGTAGGTCAACGCCTTGGTCCCACCTAGTTCACATCAACATGGCTGTGGATGCTCATCCGCTTCATGGATTTTGACGTGTTTTGACAATCCCCAAGTGTTCATTGATGTCCCCGTGGAAGGCTCATAAATAAAATTTCATGAGTCCATCTTTCCAGGCCCCAAAGATGTCAGGTCTCTTTATCCCCATCAAATGAGCCTCCATTCATTCGACTACCCATCTTTTCTTGAGGCTTTCAACTCCCCCCATTTTTCCATATATTTCCTATTTTCTGCTTTTTTGTTGTGATTTAGTTCCCAAGAAACAATAGCATACAATATATAACATTTTTTTGGGGACAATCCCACAGCCATTTGACCCATCGAGGTCAATGCGTCAGCGACGCCTGCGGCCTGGACATCAGCGTGAAACGCGCCACCGTGGAGTTGGACGCCTACCGAAGCAAAGTGCAGAGCCCTTGGGGTCCGCAATATGGTGATTTTACAACGAAGAATGGGGAGGTCCACCACTTAAATATATATATATTTAAAAATAGACGATTATTTGTGTATATATTGATATGTATATATATATATTGAGATATATATATATATATATATTATATGTGTATAAATATAAAAAACATATATAAATAAATAAATATAAATATAAATATAAATAATAAATATAAATATAAATATAAATAAATAAATAAATAAATGATACATATGAGGTTTTCGAAGAGATTTGATCGTGAAGGGCCGAAAAGGCGCCGTGCCGTGCCCCAGCTGCCATTGAGGCGAAATCCGCGAAGAAGCAGAGGCTGAGAGTCAACGGCAGGCGCAGAATGTTGATTCGTTTTTGGGTGATTTACCCATAGATAGATAGATTTGATTGGTTGGATGGATGGATGGATGGATAGATATTCAGACAATTTTACCGTGATTGACCTACAACCTGGGTGATTTTGTTTGGCATTTGAGCATCAAAAGTGGTGTTTGCACCAACAAAAGTGTTAGTATGATCCAAGTAGGATGGGTTTTGAAGGCATTTTAACATTTGGGTTTCCATGGTTTCATATTACCCAAATGAAACATGGGGAATCAACCAATAACCATGGGATATAATGGGATATGCTTAGCACGTACCAACCACTAGGGTATGGCTCAAGTCTTTGGGGCACCTTGATTTTTAGGACAGTCCCAGTGGTTCAAGGGGACATTTGCAGGGTTTAGCATCCTGGAACTCGTGGCAGTTGACAGGGAACACACCATTTCAAAGAGTGTTTTCAACCAGCAATTGCGAATGTAAAACTGCAGATCACTTGACTTTGAGGCCACTATTGACCTATGCGTTATGCATTTTTTGGTAAGGTTTGAGGCCCTTCAAAATCATCAGCAAGTGCTTATGGTTCTAATTTCTTGCGCCCCAACAAGTTATTCAAAGCAGACAACTTAAAGTTGTTATTACACCACAAAACATTCAAACATGTGTGGGTGATATTTTTTTCCTCTGCGCTCCTTTTTTAATCCCCGCAAAAAGAATGGATTGACGTGAGTTTTCAACGTATCCAACCTGATTCCACCCCATATCTTTTGATGAAGTTCACATGTTTGATGCGAAAAAACACACCTTTTGGATGGCTCAGCCACTCGTCACTGAGGGGACCCCGGCCTTGGAGCGGATCGCTCAGATCCTCACGCTGATCCAGAAGCAGCTTCAGGCCGTTCCGGGGCAGCCAGCATTGAATGGAGACTTGACCACCAAGAAATAGCAGATCTAGCCACCATTTCATGGGATCTATGGCAATGTTTTTTTCCAAGAAACATTGGGAATCCAGCCACCAAGTAATGCTACATTTTTTCTGTGAACATTTGGCATTTGACCAACAAAGATATTTTTTTTGCGTAGCAAATGGGGATACAACCAATATACCCCTGCAATAGCCATCAATAACCAAGAGAACAGGTTGGTGGTTTCTTAATACTTGTCATTTTCTATCAGCTGGGTTGAGCCGTTTTTTGCCATGAGTGGGACGTGCTTGGTTGATGAATATTTCTGGAGTGTATAACATCCAAGAGTGATGAATCACATTGAATAGCTATAGGATGAGAAATGGTTTCCTGGGTTGACATCTATACAGGCCTGATAGATGTGATTATTCGCAGACCTCTTGAGGTCAAGGATGCCAAAGTGGTATACCAAACCCACCCTTGATTCTTGACACGAAGGAATTGTTAGGTTTCCCATGAAACTTGGGGATGTGAAACAAGCAAAAGAAGGAGTGTGTTGCTGATACAACCATCAAAGCTGGTTGGTGGTTTCAACTATTTATTCACCTTGCATCCTATTAAATTGGCCCATCACTACCTGCACTGACGACAATTTTGCGGATGGGGGCTCGACCACAGTACAACCAGTTTTTTAAAGGACTAGTCAGCGATCGCTGAGCACGAACATGTGAGAAGAACCCACGCAAGTTTCATTGCAGGTACCTTTTGGGTGTTGCATGGTATGACAGTGGGAATATCATCTCCAAATGGGCGCAAAAGAGGGAATTCTCCATTTCCATGGTTGATTATCTTATGGTGCCTTAATGATGTCCAACTATATAGTCATTTAATGCAATTTATTCGTATATCTATTTGGTCAATATCTCACTTTGACCCAGTTTCCAGCTCCATCATCTCCAGTTTCCAGCTAGGTGAAGCTAGAAGAATTGCACAAGCTCACAACGTTGGAGATGGGGCAGACGCATGGCTTCCCCTGAGATTTGCTGTGTCACCAGGGGTTGCAGGTTATGAAGCAACACAGAATTAGCAACAAGGGGATGGGAGTTAACCTATATACTAACCTTACTAACTTTGCTAACCAGGGTTTATATTTTGTTGTGTCATAACATTAAAACCATCATGGACCATTATCGACATGGCGGAATGAATCTCCACAGCAACCCTCGTACTGCAAGAATGACAGACAATGAACCCAAAGTGTCTGCTCAATGATAGTCAATGTTGCCCGCAGAACCAGACGTTCGCCCATGCTCACATAATTTCCAATTTTTGCCACGGTTTTAACAGTTCTCTCATCCAAATACATACGAATTCCCTCCATTGTTCCATCATTTTTCCCATTGATTCCATAATGTCGCATTTTTCCCACGACATTACCCTATATTCACTCAAAATCCACGGGAATTCATGTTTCCCACGGTTCCAAAATCATTACAGAAGGATATATACCTGCCAGCCGCTCAAACAATACGTATAAAGGTCTTATAATGGTTGTATATTTTATCTTGTCCCGAATACATACGCTTTATAATGCCGCTTTCTGCCCGAAAATCTGGGATCCGGGAGAGCCAGAAAAAACTCGGGTCGTTTTACCCGAAAAAACATAGGCTCCCGTCGCAAACGTCCGGATCTGTGCGCAATGTTGAAACATGATGGATGCCCGTCGCCCACTTCATTCAATCACACACACACACACGGATATATATATATATACACACATAATATAAATACATACGTGTATATATATTATATAATATGTATATATATATACATATTATATATACATATTATATACATATTATACACATATATATATTATATATATACACATATTATATATACATATTATATATACATATTTTATATACATATTATATATACACACATATTATATATACATATTATATATACATATTATATATGTATACGTATTATATATATATAACTATTATATATACACATAGATGCATAGATAGATAGATAGATAGATAGATAGACAGATAGACAGATAGACAGATAGACAGATAGACAGATAGACAGATAGACAGACAGACAGAGAGAGAGAGAGAGATATATATATATATAGATAGATAGATAGATAGATAGATCCATACATACATACATACAGACATACAGACATACAGACATACAGACATACAGACATCCATCCATCCATCCATCCATCCATCCATCCATCCATCCCGCCCGACTCCCGGCAACCCTGCCGCCATTGCTGGACCAAAAGTTGACTTCTACGCTGACCCAGGACCATTGACATGGTCGTGACCTTCTCTGAGGGCCTCTCTGAAGGACATTCATGGTGATTTAACAGGTGTGTATATATATATATATGTATGTATGTATGTATGTAATGTATGTATGTATGTATGTATGTAATGTAATGTAATGTAATGTAATGTAATGTAATGTAATGTAATGTAATGTTATGTATGTATGTATGTATGTATCAATGTATGTATGTATGTATGTATGTATGTTTCTAATATATATATATATATTTACATATGTATATGTATATATATATATAGAGTTTATATATATATATACATACATACATATACATATGTATATATTTTCATGGGATATATAACCAATCTGATACGGTTTTTGTGTCTGAAAATGAGGGATGTAGCCCCAATACATGGCCATTTTGAACAGGAAAACCAACATCCACTGGGATGTCAGGAGAGGTGACGAAAGCCGTCAGCGCGTTGCAGGCTCCAATGGGAAGATGGTGCAAAAACTCGGGGATTTTGCCAAACATGGGGATTTGAACCAGCATGAAATGTGACAAATAGGTGATTTTACCCAGGACTGGTGGATATGAACTACTAATCATCAGTTCTTGATAGACATGCCTTTGACATGGGTTAAGTTGAATCAGTCCAGTTGGACATCTACGAATCTTTTTCAGGAACCCGCTCAGAAGTGGTTGGTCGGGCACAACAGATCAAACAATCAGAAAAATGAAACAACAATTACCCTCTGGGAATTTAACGTAGCTATTGAAAATGGCCATTTATAGTGGATTTTCCCATGAAAAATGGTGATTTTCCATAGCTATGTTAAATAACCAGAGGGTAAACCATGCTGATCATGCTGGCAAAAAGACAGATTTCAACCATGCAAAACAACCAAAACCTCTTCCGCTGGGTCCCGGTAGGCCTTAATCTCCTCGCCCATTTTCGCGATGCCTGAGGGCATGCCACAGAAACCTTTGCGAGAGTCACTTGTCATGGTGACAGCAAGAAGTCCATCAAGAGACACGGGGATATTTATGCAATCGCGATATAAAACTACCCATTCTATGGGGATATGATATGATATAATGAGATGTATGGGATATATAATCAACAATATGACATGGGTTTGCCATGGTTTGTCTAAGAACCAGGGATACGGGATACTCGAAAATGGACCTTTTTTAGGGAAGACATTTATGATAAACCATGCGTAGGATTCTTTGGCCCACATGGGGATCGGGATCGGCCAAAACCTGCAAGTCTCAGATGAATTGGGAGATGAACAAGGAAAAAACAACCACCTATTTTGATGTGAACTACAGTGTGCTGGGTTTTGATAACAAATATAAGAAAAACCGCAGGACTATTTGAATGCACAGACTTTGATGATACTCACTCTTTCAAGATTCCGCTTTCAATGCGCAAGTTGTTTCTAGGCTGTCAAGAAAAGTCAAGCCTTGAAGCTGGCCGTGAACTAAGGTATTCTCCAGAGGAAGTGCAAGATACGCCCGAAACCACTGAGGCAGGGCCCCGCCATCAACTCTCAACACTCAGTTGATGTATGTTCCCACTGGTAAGCTACCATGGCCATGGAAAATTGCCATGTCCAACGGGTAAAGCCTCTACAAATGGGGCTGGGCATCCTGTATCATGGTGTATCTTATTGCATCGAAAAGATGACTGAAGAGACTGAAGTGCTTTTCTTTCATACATTCGGGGTTCCCTCCGGCCCCATCCCAATAAGACCCCCCTATCCCCAACATGAAGAGATTCGGCACCAGGCAGTTCTGCGTCAGCTGATCCGAATAGAAGGAGTCATTGGCAAAGCCAAGAAATCCGCGGCCGAGCTTCTGGCAAGGCATGCGATGGAGATGATGTAACTGATATACCCTGGAGTTGGGTGATGGTGATGATACTCATCCTTTCTACACAGACTTCAATGGCTATGGATCAAGGTTTTGGCCCAAACTGGATAGGTTCAGATTCCCAAAACGTTGGTGGCCCCCAGAACTGGTCACCATGCGCACTGCGTACCTTCCAGACCCCTATCGTTCCGCTAAATTCCCTTTTTGTTGATTTCAATGATGAAATCCACATTTTCTGTAGGCCAAAGAATCCAAATTTGGCGTTGTTGTCTAAGCTGTACTTTTTGGTCGATCACCTCTTTACTTGATTGATCTTGATTGTACCCTCTGGTTATTTAACATAGCCATGGTATAGATGGCCCATGGAAATAGATGATTTTCCCAGCTAGAAACCTCCATTTATGGAAGGGATTTTTCCATGGCTATGTGAAATAACCAGATGGTATTTCTTTTGTCTAAATCCCGGTTTTCCCATTCATTGATGATCTCCCCACTCTTCATGTTTTTTTTCCCCCCTGAGGTGACCAAAGGTGTACAGCCCCTCCGTTCCAGGCCGCCCCCGAAGTTTCTGTTGGATGTGGCCGTGGCTTTGAAACAGGCCACAGGATTTCCAGCCCAGCTGGAGGTGGGGACCTGAGCTCCCCATGGCATCTGTCAGTTGGGTTCACCATGGTTCCACCTGGGGCCCTGCTTCAGGAAACTTGGCCGGATTCCAGGGAAGATCGTCTGGCACGCTTTCAGCAAATCGCGGATGCCATCAACGGCGCCTTGGCGGCCTTGGTTTTTTTTGGCATCAAGAGACCCACATTTTGGATTGAAAAGGCGGGATCCATCTAGATTTTGATTGGATTGTATGATTGAACCCTTCATATTTGATAAACATGACAATCACATTTCAAAGACCCCAAATGCAGCTGCTTCCCGTCCAGGACCTACGCCAATCTTTTCATCATTTCATCATCTCGCTGAGAGATGATGGTAGAGACCATCGTTTCCCGTAGCATTTCTCTTTAAGATACTGCACATGCATTGAAAATACGGGAATGGTCCAAAGTTGGGCCTCTATCTGCTACATAATCATTGACAAATTGACAATCCAATATCTGCATATGAATCTAGTTCTAGACTAGTACGACTGTACGACTACCCTTCTGGTAATCAAACATGGCCTGGAAAATCCAGGATATTTATAGATTCTGCTCCCATTGAAGTGCCCATTGGGGATTTCCCAGCCATATTTGGTGTGGCTTCACCCTTCCAGGTGAGCTTGGCATCCAAGTGGATTTCGATGGTGTTGGCGTGCTGAAGGGCAAGGAGGTCTCGAAACGAAGTTCTCACATCGGAACAGAAATCACTTGGAGCTGGCCCACCTTTTTTCGACACATAGAGATGATAAACCACAAAGATAGGGAAACAATAGCTGATTGAAGCATCAAGCGTCGAGAGTTTTCACCAGCAAACAACGCTAATTTCTGTTCATTTTTGACTTTTTACTATTCATGATTATTCATAGAGGCATATGTCAAAATCAACTCCTGCATAATTTCTTGTCATTTTTTTTGCTCTTCGTCGCTCCCATGTCTGGGGTACCCAGTTTGACACGACGCCAAATCACGAAACAAAACTGAGGAATGCTCTCTCTTTCTCTCGCCTTTGTAAAATCTTCTGATCATAGCTATCTAGTCCCACCGGGTATACCTCAAGAGCTATTTACGCTTCCCCCTAACATGGGAGTTGTCATATCACCAAACAACCAATTTTTGGGGTTTCATTTTGGTACCCCCTCTAGACTTGGTGAATTTTTTCCATGATTTAATTACTGTAAATTATCGCTTAAACCCACTCAGCTATTGGCTGCTTTTGAGATGGGCCGAATGGCTTGCCATTGACAGTAGATTTTCTCTTGAATTCAACGAGTGAAGTTTGAAACATAATGAGTTGAATCTCCCATTTTCCTATATATTTTTCCTGGTTCATATGATTAGTTGCGATGTTATTGCCTGATCAAGATGGTCCTTTTCCCATTTGGAGGTTTCCTAAAATAGGGGTACCCCCAACTGATCCCTTTTTTTTTGTGGATTTTCATTGTAATCCATCTAGCGATTGGGGTACCCCCATGACTTAGGACCCCCCCCAGGTCCCGAAGACCTTGCGTGTGCTGCAGCTTCTGGCGCTCAGCGCCGCGCGGCAGAGCCCTCCGAAGCACGGGGAGGAAAAGACGAAGGTGGAGGGCTGGACCGTGACGGAGGTGCCAAGGAGCCTTGGAAAAGATGGGACGATGGCGATGGTATGGGATAATGTGATATATATATATATATGTATGTATATTATATATACTGTATATATTATATATTTTCATGATGAAGAGTTACTAACTGACTATGGTTTTAAACTATGGTTACCAATTAATGTGGGGTAAACCAATGCCATAAAGAAACAACTACCATTTGGGAGATGGTTTAATTATACAACCCACGCAAAATGGTGATTTTGGGGAAGTTTATGGCAGGCTTGCCACATTGCCCAATTTTCAGACAAACCCAGGTGGGCAATCTAAGCTGGCTGGTAAAGGGATGGGGTAGGGGATCCCTATGGTTGCTATGTGAGATAAATGACAGGGGATAACCCGAAACTGGACATTTGGACGTCTTTTAGGTTTTCGCGGGATGAGTCAAAAATGACGTTTTTTTCACAGCAGAGCTGGCATATGCAGCAGCCACAGAACAGATTGGGATATGAAGCACCAAATATCGGTGGGGATATGGATTGATTGGGAGGGTGCTGCTCCGTAGCCAGTCATTGATTTGGGATCCGGTTTGTACCACGTGGTGATACTCTCCGCGCGACCTGGATCAGGTCTACTGTCCGAGTTCTCTCTCACTCTGTCCCTGTTTGTGTATGGACATTATACAAACCTCTGGATCCAACGGGTGCAGTGATCCAAGGATCCTCGACAGCCTGGATCGCTGCATCCGCACAGCCAAGGCCTGGATGATGGATGGGATGATGGGGGGATCAAGATCTTTGGGCATGTGAGTTACCTTGATTTCCATAGGTGGCTTAGCTGCTTAACTGTTTCCAGAAAACTTCAACAGTCAAAACTGTAGCACAACTCACCAAAACCTGCGGAGCCAAAAGGTCCAGGCCCAGCGATCCTTGCGCGCTTCAGAAATCTAAAAATCCCGAGTCCGAAACGAAAAAGTGCGATTCAGAAACCAAAAAAGCACGATTCAGAAACCAAACCAACACGATTCAGAATTCGTTGCAGAACCCCCTGTGAACACCATCAAATCCGCTGCCCCTGAACAAGACATTGCATGTAGAGCATCACTAGATCTCGAATCTGTCGCTCTCTGTGAACAATCGAGAAAAACCCTGCGAGCCATTGACCATGCATCATTTGTCTCGCCTGGCACACACTGGTTTGTAATCCACCTAATTAAGCTGGAGATGTCTTCGGCAGGTTTTGGTTGCAAATCCAGACGTTTTAGTTTTTGAAGAATTCTTTTGGTTTCAAAAGAGTCTTTTTTTTGGTGTCCGAAGAATTTCTCGACCCTCGGCCCCAAAAATCCTGTCAGACCGTGGTGGAGAGTCAGTCTCGCAACACTGAAGAGCAGAGTTTGCAGGCACGGCCTCAGAGATTTTGGTGAGATCATAACTTCCCAGAACTGGGGATAACAGGACGCCTATGATTTGTTAGTATTGGTTATAGTTATATGCCTGATACCATAGAACCAGGCCGCAGAAGAAATATTTGGGCGACTTCACATGTCACATGTTGTTGATACAGTTACTAGCTGCTTGTTCCAATGCTTCCTTCTCATTGTTTCCATTGTTGTTTTTGCGATTTAAATATCATAACAACAAGACAAACCCGTATTATTCATTGTCATTGCATTTCATCACAGTCCCTCGTCTTCAATGGTCTTAGGGGTGTCTGCCTGGACGGGGGCCGTGCCACCCATGCCCGGGGTGAAATGACGCAGGCCACCATTGATATCATGACAGGTTCTCTGCAACCACTATTTTTACCATGTTTGATGGTAAAATATGTCGAAATCACCATTTCCATTGGTTGTATTTCATGATCTCCCTCTAAAATCCCCATGAAATCCCAGGATTCTGCTTTTATGGCCTACCATAAAATCTGCTCAAAAATCAAGAATCACCCATGATCATTACATATTTTTTTGATTTTTTGTTGCATATCTTGCCGGAGGAGAAGCTCCTGGCCATCGAGGCGTCCCTGGCCGAGGAGGCGCGCTTCCGGCTGGCCCAGGAGGAGGCGCTGCGGGCGGCGGAGCGACATCTGCAGGAGACCAAGGCGCGGGGCGGGGAAGCCGGGGAAGCCGGGGTGGTGGCCATGGGGGACTGAAGCTATCAATAGGGGATAGATATGGATGGAGTTCAGGAGAAGGGTTTTGGATGGATTTGAAGCAAGAAAGGGAAGTTTGGAGCAGGAAAAATGGGAATTCGAGTAATGAAACAAGGTTTTTGAGCCATCAAAACGGGATTTAGGCATCAACAAGAGGCATCTCACCAATGAAACAAGGAATGGTTGATATATGGTGGATATGAGGGTGGATTTAACGGTAATGGTGGTACGAAACTGTAAAATTCGACCGTTTCATGGCTTTATGGAGACAAAATATGGGACAAATGGAATGTATATATATATATATATATATGCACACACACACATAGAACAATCACCTACGTGATATGGTATTCAAGGGTCACTAGTGGAGATATTGTATGGGGATACGATGGGATGTGATGGGACATGTGTCTGAAAATGGGGGACGGCCCCCAAAAATTGTTATTTCAATACGGAACATGATCATTAACCAGTGGATGGAATGGGGTGCACTTTTGTCAGGGAAAAAAGAAATGAAGCAAGACAAATCTGGGTTTCATATGGCAATTAATGCAGAAACATATTACCAAACAATCCAAACAAAATTGTCAGGGTATTCAGTCAACAAGAATGGAGATATCAATCAAATATTAGGATGTAACCCGTTCCTATCTACATGTTATCTAGGTAACGTTTGAGCAGGGTAGTGTCTTCGCTGGTTTCATGCAAAACATATGGGTTTAGATTATGGGTTTAGATTAATGGCAGTTGTTGGTGATTGGGCCATTCTTTGGGTATATTTCTTTGGTTGAAGAGTGTCACTCCCCACAGGACAAGTCATTGAATACAAAACAAATGTAATTATAAGGATTAGTAAGCCGTCATTTTGGGGATATGAAGCAGCACGTATGGAAATGGATCAAAATGATCAGCCCCCAAAGAACGGATAGTTTTTTGATGTTTGATGGACATGTTGACAAGAACCGGTGGAAAGGCAGGTGTTTTCTTGGTTCATACATTTTTTATTTCACAGTTTTGGTTGAGTGTTTAGTGGTCCAAAACTTGAATGGTTTGATAGGCAAAATCATGACTCATGCTGGGGCTATTGGGGTTGTCCAGACACCTGAATGTTTGAACGGGGAAAAGGTCGGGGATGTTTTTCGGGTTGTCCTCAAAATTGGAGGGTTTGAACCTCAAAAATGGGTTGCTGCCTATAGCTTTAAATTGGATGTGTGAGGCTTTGGATGGTTAGACCAAGGCATAAACAATCCCCAATGACCTACCCTCTGGTAATCAAACCTGACTTTATGGAAAATCCACGTTATTTATTGACATGTTTTTTCCATTAAAATCATTAAAACCATCTTAAAACCTCAATTTTTCCGTTCAGGGATTTCCCAGCCATTGGTGAAACCCCAGGGGCACCAGGTTGAACCATGTTGAACTTCAACCGACAGGCCACTCTTCGATCCATCTCTGCACAGTGCGAGCAGAAGGAGGTGCAAGCAGTGCAAGCTGCATCGACGGCTGATCAGGAGCTCCACCATGGAGCCATGGAGGGACGGGTTTCTGCAGAATCAGTGGGACGATTTCTTGAAAGTGATGATAGTGATGATAGTGACTTGAGATGTCTTGCAAATGATGATCTTCGTGAGTGAAAAACAATGACTCTATGATGATTTTCAGATCTTTTGAGTCTAAATTTGATAGTTTTTCACAACATGAATGATTCTTTCCCTAGAAACGCCCCAGGTTTTCGTGTCGCAACAGTGGTTTTTCGCAATGTTTCAGGAGCTTCAGGAACTGGAAAGACAGCTGGAGGAGTTGTCAGATCCCAGCAAGTTCTCAGAGGAGGGGTGCATCCCAGTCAGTGGATATGGGGGTTTCCTAAGTCATGGGGATACCCCAATTTATGGATGGTTTATTTCATGGAAAATCCCCCCAAAAATGGATGATGGTTTAGGGGTACCCCCCATGACTTAAGAAACCTCCATATAATATTTAAAAAAACACATGATGATTGGGGGAATTGAACAACACGATAGGAGATATAATGAGGATATCATGTCTATTAGTGATTGATAATGTGATTAATATGGATCATATGGATTAATTACCATCTCGCCGTTCAACATAGCAATTTTGAAGCCACGACCCATTTGAAATCGATGGACTTATGATGATTTATATATCTATCAAAGATGGTGATTTTCCCACCAGCGATGTTAAATTACCAGTGGGCAATAACCATATAATTATAAGCCGGTGAGATTAGTGGGATATACTAATATACCATGATATACCCCATGTACACTTTTTTGTGAAAAAGCAAGCACTCTCCAGCAAAAAGCGATGGATTCGTTTCTCAAGAAAACGCAATAGATTGGATTTCACAGAAGCGGTGATGCCGAGCCATGCCATTGATAGCCTGGAAATCTGGCCCTGGATATGCTTGTGCGAGACGCATAGTGGCAAATCCATACTGTAGATTTACCCCCTTCTCAGGGGTCATTCAGTTCTCGCATTCAGAATCATTCAGGAGTCACTCCACTGTGACACAGTTTTTTCCCTCGCAACATGGTGGGATCATTGCAGGCCAACGTGATGAAACTACTTGCGGGGCAGCTTGATGCGTTGAAGGTGGAATTGGAACACGACCAAGAGGACAGTTGGGGACCTGCGGTCAGCCATTGGAGGAACGGATATCTAATATGTACCCTCTGGTAAACTAACATAGCTATGGAAAATCACTATTTTTCATGGGTAAATCCACTATAAATGACCATTTTCAATAGCTTTTTGTATGTTCACCAGAGGGTATCAACCAACATGCAGAATTGATCTGGTGTCTCCATTGATCCCAGATGGACCAGCAATTGTCCCCAGGAAGTGAACCAGTTACAGGATAGGCGCAAAGAGGTGACGAAGGCTCTGAATGTGGCTTTGACTATCCATGTGGCTGTGGATCAAATTGGGTACCCAGAGATTCGGGTGCTTAATGATGCTTAAGACTGAAAGTCGCTATCGATTTGCGGGTCGGTGTGACTTAGATTTTGACTCACATCATCTCACATCAATGTTTGCAGTATCGCTTGAGTAGATGGTGAAGTCCGAACTGAGCAGAACGCATTTGTCCTCATCAAACCTGAGAGCATAAAGGCAGGGCTATATCCCCGTCAGGCTAAACTGGCATGTGGTTTGAACAAGTCCTCACTTTTCATGGCTATAGAGTATACTGGGTATGGCTCAAACTTCCAAAGTTGGATGGTTCTGGCTGCAAAACGACCTGACTGCTTATACTGGCCGAAGTCACGACGTGCATGATGCTTGAGGGAATCATCCCCAACTGACCTCATCTCAGGTTGTTGATTTACTGTGAAGCCAAATGGTCCCCAAATGGTCTCCAAGTGGTCTCATACTAAATAAGGCAAGCTTTTTGGGTCCATTGAGATCCTATTTCTGATGGTTCACATGCCTCCCAGACTTGGTTTCAGAGAATGGATTGACAGAAAACTTCAGAAAACCAGTATATATATATATATACTGTATCATACAGTATTTATGGTTATATATGTATACATGGTTCCAGAATGGTTCCAGAATGGTTCCATGTATATGTATATATATATATATATTAATATGGTTTATAAAATATGTAAGAACCATGTTTTTTCATATGTTTCCTCCAATCTGTCAATCTGTCCATTTTTTCTCACTCCTTGTTGTTCACACACGTTTTCATGTCACGTCACGTCGTAGCGCTAAGGAATCGACCTCCCATGCACGGCTGGTGGAAGCAGAAGTGCAGAGGGCACGTCAGAAGCGCGAAGCAGATGAAGAGTTGATCGGCCAAGCACCCGAGGAAGCCAGTTGGTCATCAATGGCCAGAGTGGTTAAGATGTTTTTTTAGGCCAAAACAGAATTACACGGTCAATTATAGATATTCAAATATTAACTGGTTTTTTAAACAGTATATATATATAGTAATTATACAGTTCATATTTAGATGTTGCAACCATCCCATATCCAGGTTTCCCATGGACCCCAACATCGTCAGGAGCAGCTGCAAATTCTCCAGGCACGAGGCCAGGAGCTACGGGGCCGTAACGAGGATTTGGAGCAGCAGCTGGCCATGATGTCCTCGGAGGCGACTGGGGCGATTGGTAAGGGATGAAGATCCCCAAGATCCATCAAAAGGGCGAAATTTTGGGTGTTATTTTGGGTACAAGGTGTTTTGACTTTGACCCATCACCGCATTTTTTTCATGGAGATTTATAGCGATTTAATCTTCAAATTGTGCTTTCTTTGCCATCAAACATTTAATAAAATGATGCCTAGCAGTTTGGAAAAAAAACAACAAGTTGGATGGGTTTTAGATAGGAATTATTCACTATATATTGTAGAGCTTCGCACACCGGCGACGCCGGTAGGGGTCGGGGGAGGGAAAGAGAGAGGGGGATGTCATCTGAACTTGCGAACATGACATGCTGAGGGTCGGCGGCCTATCTTGGGGCTATGTTGGCCCAGCTTGGGGCTATGTTGGCCCATCTTGAGGCTATGTTGGCCTATGCCTATGCGCACAAAGTGTTGTAATTTACAGCATTTTGCGCTTTGAGATGGCAAGAGCCCGTGTAAACACAACAGTTTTAGTCCCCGAAAGTGGCTAAAACATTCTTATTTACAGAGTTTCGTTCACATCACGATCTTCGATTTTTTGAAAAACGTGCAAATACCAGCGTTTGTTGCATGCAGCAAGACAAAAAATCGGTTCAAAAAGTGCAAAAAATGCTGTAATTTACAGGGGAGTGGACCCGTCACAAGCAAAAAACTGCGTAAATACCAGCGTTTCGGCGTCCAAAAGTTGCCAAAACACCGCTATTTACAGTGTTTCGTGCCTTCCACGTTTGCTTGAAATTGCAGAAACATTGTAAATACCAACATTTTTTGCGATCAACCCGCCAAAAATGCTGTAATTTACAGTGTTTTTTTGCTTGGCTTTCAAAAACACTGGTATTTGCAGTGTTTTGTGCATCTCGGGTCCAAAAAGTACTAGTATTTACAGCATTTTCTGCGTTTGTGCATGGCTCCCGCCAACGACGTTAAAACGCAAAAATGTTGTAATTTACAGCATTTTGTGACTTCCGAAAAGCGAAAAATCGTCCGAAAAATGTGTCAAAACGGCATTTTTTTTCCGATTTTAGGACTTCCAAAACGCATCTTGAAATTTCACCCTCTTTTTGTCCACCCCAGACCCCTTTTTTCCCACCCCGAACCCCCAAAAACGTGAAAACCCCACCAGGCTGAAGGATTTTAGGGGAGGGTCGCCAGGTGGTCGGCGGAGGGTCGGCGGCAGGGGCGCGCCCCCGGGTAGCTAAAGCTATGCTTAGCCACCACCACCGGACGGCGTCGCCGGATTTAAGGGCTGCCGCCCCTGCCGCCGACCCCGGAAAAGAATGTGAAGAAGCTGGGGAAGGCCAGAGACTTCGGACAAAGTGACATAGTCGGTGGATTACCAAGGTCACAAGATTGACCTAAATATTCTTCAGTATTTCATAAGGTATATTTAATATTTTTGAATGCAATATATTTGACAAGATATTTTGATATAGTAAGAACACCCACCCACCAAACCCCTTCACCCCCCTGAGCAGTTCCTCGACGACTTCAACCAGAGTCTGGGTCTTGAGCTCGTGAATTACTGTCCCCTGCAGCTCTTGTTTGGTGGCTCCAAGCTGCAAGCATCAGGCCTCCAGAACGGACCCTTCGCCACAGCAAAACAGCACCTAATTGCGTGCCGAAACCGTGCTCAAACTTATCTACACAAACTGCTTAACGTCCCTTGTGAATTCCTAGAAAAAATATCTTTTTCTGTCTCCTACAGCTGTTGTTTGGTGGCTCCAAGCTGCAAGCATCAGCCATCCAGATCGGACCTTTCGCCACAGCAAAACAGCACCTAATTGCGTGCCGAAACCGTGCTCAAACTTACTTAGGTGTGCTTTGGAAGTTGTGGCAATTTTAAACACCACCTAATTGCGTGCCGAAACCGTGCTCAAACTTATCCACAAAAACTGCCTAACGTCCCTTCTGAAGTCCTAGAAAAAATGTCTGTCTTTTTCTGTCTCCTGCAGCTCTTGTTTGGTGGCTGCAAGTTGCAAGCATCAGCCCTCCAGAACGGACCCTTCGCCACAGCAAAACAGCACCTAATTGCGTGCCGAAACCGTGCTCAAACTTACCCACAAAAACTGCCTAACGCCCCTTCTGAATTCCTAGAAAAAATCTCTTTTTCTGTCTCCTGCAGCTGTTGTTTGGTGGCTCCAAGCTGCAAGCATCAGGCTTCCAGAAGGAACCCTTCGCCACAGCAAAACAGCACCTAATTGCGTGCCGAAACCGTGCTCAAACTTACCCACAAAAACTGCCTAACGCCCCTTCTGAATTCCTAGAAAAAAATCCGCCGACCCCGGCCGACCGCAAGGGGGAGCGCGTCAGGGAAGAGAGGTTGTGGACAACAAGAAATACAACAACGGGTCGGGGACCAGCAGCAGCAGCAAAAGCCTCTGCAGCAGCAGGAGGAAAAGGTAGCCAAAATTCATAGCAGCAGCAAGAGGAAAAAGCAACCAAAATCATCATTTTCTATGCGTTTTCGTTAGGCATTTATGGGGTGCAATTTTGGGTTTTCTCCGTCCTTCACTGCCATGGTGTTTTCCCATCCAGCAGCAGCCAGCAGCAGGCAGGAGCAGGCAGCAGCAGGCAGCAGCAGGAGCGGCAAAGTTTCAATTTTATAGTAGGGTTTCAGAAGTGACGTTAGGCCCTTTTTTGGGGTTCCATTGCTACGTTTTTGCTCTTTCGGATGTGTTTCGAAAAGGGTGTCTGGCTGTTTGTTTCTTGCTTTGGAGGCTGTTTGATTGCAGCAGCACCACAGCAGCACCACAGCAGCAGCAGGAGCAGCCACCAGTAGCAGCACCAGCAGCAGGCAGCAACAGGCAGCAAGCAGCTTCTGCCAGCAGCATGCGGCAGCAGGCAGCAGCAGGCAGCAGCAGGCAGCAGCAGGCAGCAGCAGGCAGCAGCCAGCAGCAGCCAGCAGCAGGCAGGAGCAGGCAGGAGCAGGCAGCAGCAGGCAGCAGCAGGCAGCAGCAGGCAGCAGGCAGCAGCAGGCAGCGGCAGGCAGCGGCAAAGTTTCAATTTTATAGTAGGGTTTCAGAAGTGACGTTAGGCCCTTTTTGGGGTTCTGCATTCAACGCTGCGGCACGCTTGCGGATGGCAGCTTGGACTGTGGCCACATGACATGCGTTGCAGACCCGTGTGCCATGTTGACCCCGGCCGACGCAAGGGGGAGCGCGCCAGGGAATAAGACATTTTCCGCCGACCATTTGGAAGCTTGCAACAGCAGCAGCAGCAGGCAGCAGCAGGCAGCAGTAGGCAGCAGCAGGCAGTCACAAAGCCATGCAGCTTGTACTTATAAGGGTAAGCAGCAGGCAGGCAGCAGCAGCAATATGATGTTTCGCAGTCCGGGGCCCGCGTTTTTGTAGTCTAGGATTCCCGAAGAGATTCCCTAGCATTTGGGATTCTCTAGGTAGCAGCCAGCAGCAGCGAGTAGCCAGCAGGGCCAGCAGTCAAGAAGCAGGTAGCAGGCAGCCAGTCGAAGCCTGATGCACAAAAAAAGAGATATTTTTTCTAGGAATTCAGAAGGGGCGTTAGGCAGTTTTTGTGGGTAAGTTTGAGCACGGTTTCGGGACGCAATTAGGTGCTGTTTTGCTGTGGCGAAGGGTCCCTTCTGGAAGCCTGATGCTTGCAGCTTGGAGCTACCAAACAAGAGCTGCAGGAGACAAATAAAGAGAGATTTTTTCTAGGCATTCAGAAGGGACGTTAGGCAGTTTTTGTGGGTAAGTTTGAGCACGGTTTCAGCACACAATTAGGTTCTGTTTTGCTGTGGCGAAGGGTTCCTTCTGGAAGCCTGATGCTTGCAGTTTGGAGCCACCAGACAACAGCTGCAGGAAACAAATAAAATAAAAAAGAGAAATTTTTTCTAGGAATTCAGAAGGGGCGTTAGGCAGTTTTTGTGGGTAAGTTTGAGCACGGTTTCGGCACGCAATTAGGTGCTGTTTTGCTGTGGCAAAGGGTTCCTTCTGGAAGCCTGATGCTTGCAGCTTGGAGCCACCAAACAACAGCTGCAGGAGACAGAAAAAAAGATGTTTCTAGGAATTCAGAAGGGGCGTTAGGCAGTTTTTGTGGGTAAGTTTGAGCACGGTTTCGGCACGCAATTAGGTGCTGTTTTGCTGTGGCGAAGGGTCATTATTGTGGGTAAGTTTGAGCACGGTTTCGGCACGCAATTAGGTGCTGTTTTGCTGTGGCGAAGGGCCCCTTCTGGAAGCCTGATGCTTGCAGTTTGGAGCTACCAGACAACAGCTGCAGGAAACTAAAAAACAAAAAAAGATAGATTTTTTCTAGGAATTCACAAGGGGCGTTAGGCAGTTTTTGTGGGTAAGTTTGAGCACGGTTTCGGCACGCAATTAGGTGCTGTTTTGCTGTGGCGAAGGGTTCCTTCTGGAAGCCTGATGCTTGCAGCTTGGAGCCACCAAACAACAGCTGCAGGAGACAGAAAAAGAATTTTGTTCTAGGAATTCAGAAGGGGCGTTAGGCAGTTTTTGTGGGTAAGTTTGAGCACGGTTTCGGCACACAATTAGGTGCTGTTTTGCTGTGGCGAAGGGTCCGTTCTGGAAGCCTGATGCTTGCAGCTTGGAGCCACCAAACAACAGCTGCAGGAGACAGAAAAGAGAATTTTTTCTAGGAATTCAGAAGCGACGTTAGGCAGTTTTTGTGGATAAGTTTGAGCACGGTTTCGGCACGCAATTAGGTGCTGTTTTGCTGTGGCGAAGGGTCCGTTCTGGAGGGCTGATGCTTGCAGCTTGGAGCCACCAAACAGCAGCTGCAGGAGACAGAAAAACAGATTTTCTCTAGGAATTCAGAAGGGACGTTAGGCATCGTTAGGCAATTTGTCTGGATAAATTTGAGCACGGTTTCGGCACGCAATTAGGTGCTGTTTTGCTGTGGCGAAGGGTCCGTTCTGGAGGACTGATGCTTGCAGCTTGGCGCCACCAAACAAAAGCTGCAGGAGACAGAAAAAGACAGACATTTTTTCTAGGAATTCAGAAGGGGCGTTAGGCAGTTTTTGTGGAT